ACATATGTTAACATTCTTAGGGAAAATTCGACAATAAGTGCAGAAAAAATGAATTCGGGGTCGTTCGACCACCCACAAGGTAACACATAACTCCCCTGGCTATAAAAAAAGATATATTCATATATAAATTGTTAATTAAACATCCATTGAAATATTATAACATTGTATGATTTTTTACCTATTTATTTTAATAAATGTGCACTTAAAAATTTACTATGAAAATTATACTTTCATTTGATGCGTAGTGCATATGTAATATGTTGAATTGTGCATTGAACTTCAAAAAGTTTCATTAATAATAATTTCTTGAAAACATAACATTTTTGTAAATAAAAGTAAAATGAAGATTCCAAATCTCATGTTTTCTGAAAATAATCTTATCACACTTTTCTATAGAGTTCAGGGGCAAAAAAATTTATCGGTACATACATACATACATATAAATTACCTGAGAAAATATGGATTTTTACGCAGCTGTTGTTGGATATTTGACTGAAAAAATATAAAATATTCAAGCGTTTGCTTGCTAATCTTTTAAACAAGCATAAGTGTATATACCGCAAGTACATGTGTATATTATGTACGAAAGTTCCGTTGTGAATCACAGATATTCATTATAATATAATTAGCACATTTTATTTAGTTGATTACTGATAATTTATTCAGATCAATGTACGTAAATAGAGTAAATATAATATAATAGGGGTAATAGGGGCAAGGTCTTTTCTTATTCTAATTTCATTCCATTGGAAACATTTTCTTTTAAAGAAATTCATTCGAATAATAAAATTTCATTTATATTTTTAATTAACTTTGCGCAGATTAGAAAAGAAGTAAAAAAAAGTACTTACTAGCGCAGAATACCGTACTTCTCAATATTTTTATCCATTTCCATTGATTGTTTTATTTAGTACTCGCCATAAATGTCAGTTCATAACGTTTATCTCTTGGTAAAAAGAAATATCTGTTTTCCACGGATGTTACGGGCCTTTGTGATGCATAATTTTCTTTTAGGTGGCCTCTGTTCACATGTGTAAGTTTACATAATCTGAGGTATAAGTTTTGGACGTAGAACCAACAATATTTTTCAACTTAAAAAATGTCTCATTCGTTAATTATCTGCCTTTGATAGTTTATTAAGTTACTTAATGATAACTCCTCATTTAGTTAATATTACTTCGTTGTTGTGGTTTTTGTAATGGTTATCTAATAGCTTTTTGGGTGGCAAGGTTTAAGTCATTTAACCGGGAGCCCAGGAAACGTGCTGCTGCGGCAAGGTCGGGAGAGGAATGTTAGAATAGTGGGGTTTATTGGATATGCAAGGAGGTGGTTAAAGTCATGCGGGGACTTATTGCACACATATATTTAGTATGTCGGGGTCAATTCTGTGAAGGTAGGAGTTCAAGCTGCTACAATATCCAGAACGAAGCTGCGAAAGATTCGCGAGGCAACTCGAGCTCCTAGGAGGCGACTCCGCCTCAAGCAGATGACTTTAACGAAACGATCCAAGCAGAAACTGCTTTGAGAGCAGGATACATCAGGTCGGGTTTAATATCTTCGACTGTTTTATTAAGAACTAGTATGTACTTCGTCATCCAGCCGTGAAAATGGTCGCCGTGGAGTGGTGTATAAGAGGCTCCTTGCGTAAAGAAGTGAAAATTACCGATCATGTAGCTGTTTACTTTTGAACACATGTCATCAATGCCACTGCACGACGAACTAGTTGGCGGGTTTCCGAGGTTTCAGTAGCGGTGCCACTCAGAAATTATTTAGTCGAACTATCTGCTTTTGTCGAGCAAAAACGATCAAAATTCTGCTTCATTTGATTAAATATTTATAAAAATTAATATCTAGGTTAAATCTTTAATTAAATTAGTCTACGAAAATAAATCTAACTCTAAGGATGCACTTTAAATTTATTTAACAACGATTACAGTTTTTAAGCCTTGTTAGCGTGGAAATATACATTCCACGTACGAGTATGTGTACATGTTGCCCTTAGTGAACTATCTCAACAAATTAGTTTGTTTTTATTTGAACATTAAAGGCCTCCTGTCACAGTCTCAACACTCCACTCCCTCCGCATCAGAGAAGCATTCATCTCCCAAATAAATTGCAAGAGTAATACGCTGCGCTTGTTAACAAAATATATCATTTGCCACAATCCAAACTTCCGGCACTACACTGCACCACCCACCGCTGACGCAAGTCTCAAATGCTCAACGACCGTCTAATGAAATTGGCGCGAGTATTTATCTACTTTTTCATTTTTATATTGTAAAAACGCGGCGCATTTCCATGTGAGCCGCGGCGTAGTGTGACATGAAAGTGAACATGTGCATAATAAATGTAACAAATTTATATACATATGTAAATATATCTACTTATATGCATTTGCGATTATTTCACAAACACATGTTTCGTGCAAGTGCAGAAGCGTACAGCGTACCCGGTTAATGTTTATGGTACACTCGTTTGCACATTTTGACGTTTTCGCCGTTTTGCCGTTAGTGAGTGTAGCATGGTTGACAACATGTGATGACTTGTTGTTTTAGTTTATTCATTTCATGCCATTCGGTGTAGTTTGCACGCATCAATATGGAATATATATGTACCTGCATACGTGTGTGTTTGCAAGTAATGATTCATTATCATTTTATTGCCCTTTGGCTGCTCTGATGCGTTTATATTCGTCATTTAGCGCACTTAGTGTTAATTTTTTATTTATTTATATTATTGTATTTGCTTACATAAATATAATAATAATAAAATGATAAGGTTGAAACAATCGTGTCAATATTGGTTTCTTGTACTGATTACCATGAATTGAATTGAAATTTATGTGCGACTTTGTTAACTTGTGGTGCATTATTATATGAATTAATCTTCCACATTGCTTGTAAGTTTGGTATGTATGTAATAAACGAAGATATCAGAAAATTCTTTAGATATAAGTATTGCACAAAATTACTTGGAATATTGGCATCTTGCTTGCACATATCGCTCTTAAGAGGGTTGTTGATTGTGCCAATTCAATCAAAAAATCAGGATTCCGATTGACTCGGTTCTCGTACGTATGGTCCGTGGAAGCTCATCGTTCCTAGACCGATCTAAATGGGTTTTGATCGCCGAAATTACAGCCCTTGGTCGGATAATATCCGGGTCATTCCAGTAACGTAAAACCCGCGGTTAGGAGCATGGTTCCCTCTTATATATTACTTAGAATAAACTTGTAATCTTTCGTAGAATCTTTCATTTGAACACATCAAGTGACTGACTTTTCTTTCCGGAATTTGATGAAATTGACGCGGACGATATATATATTCAACGAGAATGTGCGTCGCTTCGTCTTTCACGTCTAAACATGGAAACATCGCGTGCAAAATTTGGCGACTCGTTAATTTCAAGAAATGGCCCAGTCAAATGCCCGCCAAGATCATACCATATAATGCCTCTAGATTATTTTCTCAGCGAGTATGTTAAATCAAATATTTACGCCAATCAACCGGCAACGCTCGAGGAGCTCGAAGACAACATTCAGCGTACTATAGTTGACATTCCAGCCGAAATGCTGCACCGGGTCATCGAAAATTGGCGTAAACGGGTGGAGATTTGCTGTGGTGACCATTTGACCGATATTTTGTTCAAAGATGACATAAAATTATCTGTTTTATTTAATTAACATAACGTCGTTCTTGTTGGTAGTACCTTTAACTTGGTTGTGTTATTTTTGTATTCAAAAAATACCAAATTATATATTAAAAGAGGCACAAAGACTCTTTTTGACGATTTGACTCTTTTATCAGCTTTTTCGTATTTGAAATAATACGCTTATTCTAAATAAAAATTTGTCTTCAGTATTATGATAGTGAGGTATGTTACTCTGCAATTTGTGCTACTAGTCTCGCTTCCAAGATATTCTGATCAAAAATATAATTTAAACTTAATGGAATGACCTTTTGTATACTATTTTTAGAGATATTAAAATGATTTTATGTCAATCCTTTTTTTTTTAGTATTTAGTTTGTTTTATATCTTTCGATTATTTTTTTTTTTTATACATTGATCAGTCTATATTTAGTTCGCGACGAAGTTTGTAAAACCCAAATGGAAACGTCGAAAACCTTATAAAATGTATACATAAATGATCAGCATGACGAGCTGAGTCGATTTCTGTATATACGCGAACTAGTCCGTCTGTTTTTGAAATATCCTTTTTTCTCAAGAAGCTGCTCATTTGTTCGAATCGCCGATATCGGACCAATATACCAAATAGCTGTCATACAAACTGACCGATCAAAATCAAGTCTTTGTATGAACAACTTTTTTGTCATGGATTGTTGTAGAAGGTAACGGTAAAATCTCCGAAGAAATTATAAGAACTCTTTCAGCAATGCGCTTTTAATGTCATCTATGCTTGTAAAACAACGGCCCTTTATTTTTGGAAATATGAAAAAGTCACATGGAGTCATGTCTAGTGAATATAGAGGCTAGGGTATCGTTACAGTATTTTTTTGACCAAGAATTAATGAAAAAAATTTTTGATCCATTTCTTTTAACAAACGAAACTCGCCAAGCTATTAAAAACACGTCTAATCTTAGTGGCTGCGTCAGACAAAGTAAGCAATGAATACTCGTATAGCTGAAAATTTTATCGTACTTCAGGGGCATGTAAATACATTTATCAACATAATAAAAAAAAATTGACAATTGGACTCTCCAAACCTGCAAAAAATTCCTGTTATTTTTTGAACACACCTCGTTTTGGGAAGGGTATTATAGTTTCAGTGTTTTTGTTTTTTAATTTCAATAAAAATTAAATCAACGTAAATATTTACCTATAGAATCAAGGATAATAAAGATGTTAGGACGAAAATAATCGTTAAAAGCTTTCTCTTCATCTCCACAAACTTGAAAAAATAATTGAATAAAAAAACTTCTACTTTTTATATCAAAAAGTTTATATAAATATTTAATATATTATTTTTTAAATATTACAGGAGCATCATCTGCAGCGCGCAATATGTACTGGTCTCATTATACCAACTCCAGAGGTTTTTACCACCGATCAGGAAGCCTACGACCGCATGTATCCGCCAAATTACAAAATGCCGCGCCAACTAATACACATGCAACGTGAGTAAAATAAAACTTGCAGCACTAAAAAAATAACTTGTAAACTTTTTTTAAACACACACACACTCGCATTGCAGCGTTGGGTCTCGAGCAAGATGTGCCAGATTACGACATGGATAGCAGCGACGAGATTTGGATCAGCCAACAGAGTCGTCGTCTCGATCTGACACCACTGAAGTTTGAGCAGATGATGGATCGGCTAGAGAAGAGTTCAGGGCAAATGGTCGTAAAGCTGAATGAGGCGAAAGCATTGCTTAAACAGGACGATGAAGTCAGCATAGCCGTTTACGACTATTGGCTTAATAAACGCTTAAAAATGGTAATAATCTTATTAAAGTTAACGAAAAGACCTAATAATAATTGAGAAAAAAAAAGAATGTGCCAATTAAATAAAAGACGCACAATTTGTATACCATAAAAATATTAATTTAAATTAAATTTCAAAAAAGAGAAATTGTTAAACATGTTTGAAAAAATGTAACAACAAATTTTGCTAAATTAAAACTTGAAATAATACAGCAACATCCGCTGATACTGACTGTGAAAACGGAGAATCGTCCGGGCGCATCTTCGAACAATCCGTACTTAGCGTTTCGCCGACGCACCGAAAAGATGCAAACGCGAAAGAATCGCAAAAACGATGAAACGTCCTATGAGAAGATGCTCAAGCTGAGGTGCGTACGAATAACTATATGAGCCAGTGTGACTACCTATTTTTTTTTTGCTTGTTTGCTTTTGTTTCCTAATGAAAAAAGTAAATGTAGTTTCCAGTAGTTCAGTAACAATTCTTTACTAAACACTTTGGGGTAACACGAGTGCAAGCTTACACGTCTTTTATGATCGTAATTAAAAGTACAGCAATAGTAATTAGCAAGTAAAGTACATAAAAGTGGCAGTATTTGTTTCAGATAATTTTGCTCTTCTAGTTTAAGATTTGATAAGTGAACGCCATATAACGGTATTTTAGTATTATTTGCTTAAATCTAAAAAATATTTACATAGGTGAAGAAAAATTAAGATAAATTTGGAACAATCTTACCAAAATTAAATTTTTTCAAACGAAAAAACTGTTTCAAGAAAGTATTTTAAAGCAAAAGTTGATCCCTAATTATCATTGAAGAAACAGATTTTGGTTTATGTTTGTTATTGTTGTAACATGAAGTAAATTTTTTTAAATGCTGTAGAGTCTATAATACTGAGTTTTATTAATACTAACCTCTAAATTTTCCAGATTTTTTTGATTTGATTATAATCGATAGAGTAGTTTAGGATTTACATCTTTTATTATATTGGATGTGGAGTGACAAAAGATCATAAACCTATTTTTAGGTTTGAAAGAAAATAACATTCAAAGTTTGTTATTCAAAATAACTTTGTATTTTTATACCCTGAACAGGCTCTATAAAGTTTGCTACGATCTTTGTAATATCCAAAAAGAAATGTTGGAGACCTACGCTTGACGCTACGAACTGAGTAGATTAAGCCATGTCTGTCTGTGATGCTGCTAATTTATCGGAATCGCTGCCTTACAAACTGAGCGGCCAAACTCAAGTCCTTGTAATCAACACTTTTATTTGACAATATATCTTCACCACATTTGACATAGATTATTATCTAAGGCATCACTACAATAGCCGCAGAAATTTTTAGATTGGCCCACTAGCATATAGTACCATACAAACTAATCAAAATCCAACCCTTCTTTAGCAAATTTTTTTATGTGACGATATGTCTACACGAAATTTAGTATGGATTATTAGCCAAGACATCGTTACAATCACCGAACAAATTGTTTAGATCGGACCACTATAGCATATACATAGCTGCCATTTAAACAGACCGATCAAAATCAAGATAATTATCTTATTGCACCCTTTTATGCTATAAAAAATGCACCTGTGAAGGGTATTATAGCTTTGATGCAGCCGAAGTTAACGTTAATGAATTATATTAAAATTTTGAAACTGAACTGAACTTTTTACATTAAAGTATTTAATTTGTATGTATATATCTAGGATCCAGATATATTAAGTTTTTTTTAAGAATACAGGGATACATTTTTGAATTTCAAACCTGAAAGCTTGCTATTGATTAAAAAAATCATCTATATTGCGTTCCACTTCTAATTATAACTTTTGTAGTATAATCAGGGTTAGCTTTACATTTAGATATTATAACGTAAGAAAAAAAGGGTCTTCAAGATCAAAACGAAACCGCACCATAACCCGTACGTAGTAGCGTTCACTGAGCTTCTGTTAAACAGTTTGTTTACTCAAAAAATCGTATTAATTTCACGCGTATATATATATTAAATTAGGCGCGACCTGCAGCGTGCCACCACCGTGCTGGAGATGGTTAAGCGCCGCGAGAAGACGAAACGTGAGCAATTGCATTTATCTATAGAAATCTTCGAGAAGCGATATCAGCTGCGCGACTTCAGTGGTGCTCTGCTCTCCGAATTGAGTTCTTCTCTGAAGAGTTTCAGGTATGTTTTGACCATCCAGCATTTTTATATGCCACACAGCGCTTATTATTATTCATTTGACAACTTGCAGACCAGCGTTTGCCCCCTTGTATACGAATCAATACTCACAACATGGATCTGCGACAGGCGCCACGTCCGCCGGTGTGGTGTCGACCGGTGGGGCGACGCATGCTACCGGCATTGGCAGTGTACTGGGGCCTGGTGGTTTGCTGGCAGCAGCGGCGGGTGCCAACAATGTGACGCCCGGCAGTGGTGGCCATCTGTATGCGTCGGCTTCGCAGTACCTGAATCCTTCGACTCTAACGATTGGTGAGTAGCAACGCATTCAGTAAATACAATTTAGTTGTTAAAAAAAAATCATGCTTTACCCTTTCCTTTCATATGTAGATGCAATCAATGCTGGCGCAAATGGCGGTGGTAATCGCAAGGAGAAACGGACATACAAGAAGCGGAAACATAAATTGACGCGCGATAAACAGCAGCAGCAGCAACAGCATCTAACACAACAACAGCAACAACAGTATTTGATTAGTGGCGTTGGCAATGGTTTGTCAGCGTCAGCGTTGGGCGTTCCAGGTTCAGCGCTAAGCGCGCTGCAACTGCATCGTCAGAGCTCATCGCCCGCTGCAAATGAATCCAATATCGAAACGGAGGAGGAGGATTTCGGCAGCGGCGGTTTGGGTTGTGGTGGTGGCGGTCATCATGCGCACCAAATGGGCTCCGAGAGCGAGGAGGAGGCACCGTTTGCATTTAGGCGAAAGCAGCACTCCGACTATCAGAGGGTGAGCTTATGCGTTGGCTAGAGAGTATGATAATATAAAATGGGATTAATATAAATGAGCATAGCATGGTAGCATGTGTGCGTGTGTATGCAAGAAATATGCTACGCGTATGCTAAAATTTAGTGTGTTTTGTTGCTCTAGTAGAATAACAAATTATTATTTATGTTTTTAATATTTCTATATCCCATGTTTGTTTACAGCCGCTAGCCCATGATGGCAACTGGCCTTGGGAGTCGAAGGACGAAAACGGTTTTGGTGATACGAAATATCGGTTTACACTAACATCCATCCGACATCCGAGGTGTGTATCTTTTCCCAACAGACTCTTTGCGATTTAGATAATTTGGGTGTGCCTTCCCTTTTAGACCACGTTGCATTGGTTTCGCCAGACGTCGCATGGGACGTGGTGGTCGTGTTATGTTGGATCGCATTGCCACAACCATGGATGATTTTTGGTCACAGCTAGACTACACGATATTTGAGAGTGATTCCACTTCGGCCGCGGCGAAGTGTGCAAATATTAAAAGCGAGCATGTGAAACCCGCCTCACCACCCACAGTTGTTGACCTGCCATTGCCCAGCATAACTAACGCAACCAGCTCAACTGCTCCAATGCCTGCATCACTAATACCCGCCAATACGACGATCAAAGTCGAGCCCGTTGAGGTGCCGTCTGGTTTACCGTCACCCAAACACGACGCTACGGCCACGCAAGTTAGTGACGATGATGGCGTCGAGGCAGACTTTGATGACGATGACGACTATGAGGAGGCCTTGTCACCAGATGTAAATATCTCACGTGATGCCAACTACATTTCGTCGTTGACAATGCTGCGTCAGCGCCAACGTCAACGTATGCGTTTGCAACAGCTGCGTCTTCGCCGTCGACTGCAGCGCCGGAAGGCCATTGAAGAGGGCGGTGGCAATTCAGCGGATGGCCAGCACACAAAACGGCGGCGTTTCAATAATGCCAATGTTGTTGTCGATGCTAAAGCTGCGCCTACGTCACAAACTGTTGCATCAACAAAAGAGCCAATGCCGCGTCGTTTATTGCATCGGCTGTCCAAGTTGATTGATGAGAAGAGCATGAATAGCATAAGTAGTTTCTTGTTGAGCGAAAAGGTGAAGCGTGAAAAGCTGAACGGTGAGAATGTGTCCGATGAAGTCGTGGTTGATTTAATGCGGCAACAACAGCAGCAGCAGCAGCCGTGGCCCAATCATCGATCCAATAACAATTTGATGAACTACAATAACAACAACAATAGCAGTAGTAATATAAATAAGAATGTAGGTGTTAGCGATAAATTTAATGTGATAAAAAGCGAAGGCATTAGCCCAGCATCAGCACCGGTGGTGTCATTGTCAGCGCCAACAACAGCCGCATTAGCCGCAGCTGCTATTACCGCAACAATGACGTCCGCCACAACGCCCGGTTCCATAACGTCCACGCCGTCGGCAACAGTACCGTTAACCAAAGCTATCAAACAAGAACTGATAGATTGCACAAGTGGTGGTGCCTCAGCCGATGATTCGAATGAACCTTTGAGCAGCATAAAGAAGTCGTCGTCCATATTAACGGACACCACGACCAACTCCGAAATGCAGGTTCTGGAAGATGAGGAGAATGTGAATTTGGCACAATTGAGTAGCATAATTCGTCACACTGTGAAGAAAGAGCCACTCGATAGCAACGATATGGCACAGCCAACCAACAACTCAACAACGAAATTCAATTCCATCAATTCTGCGCATGTCAATGTAGACGAGGAGGATACGCTATCGACGCTGCTGAATCAATTGCCTGATGTTATACGCCAACAGCATTGGCTGACGCTGCAGCGCAACAATCAATTAAAGAGCGAGCAGAGCGGTGTTGAGAACGCTTGCAGCAACAGCATTAACGGCATAAATATTCTAATCGACAATGACTCAACGACGCATTTCGATGATAACTACGATTACATTGGCAGTCTTTCGCCGACCTCCAGTCAACGTCTGGACGTTTGCAATGAGCTGCTGTCGGAGATACGCCGCGATTGGTTACATTTCCGCCCGAAAACACCGACCGACGAGCTGTCCGATAGCGGCGATTGCAAAATGACTTCAACAGAGCCGCTGGTTGAGTGGACGCAACAGACTCCAATATCCGTTGAAATGCTTCGGTTGTCATGTGACAATATTGAGTCTGGAAAAGTTAAGCGTGCCCACAAAAGCGATGAACAGACGCTGAGTAATATGTGGGATACACATTCCGACGATGCGCTCTTCGTAAGCAGCAGCTTCAAGTATGCCGAACTCGAGCCAGACACACAGTTGCTACAAACTTATTATGCGCCTGAAGTAACGCGCGGCAGTAGCAAGAGTCCAGATGTTGGCGCAGCCGGTAGCTCAAATTCAGCAATTGATTTCAATTTAAGTGGTGACTCACTCACGGATATAAACCTCCTGGGTGATGGCGATGAAACGGATGAGAATATGTTGGTGAATATATTAAAAGAATGCGACGACATCAAGACGCTGAATCAGGCTACGAATTTTTGGAATGGCATATTGGAAGGTGAAGCCGAGGTTGACGAAGTTGCAGCGGACGTAGAGACCGACTTGCTGGACTGCATTGACGACAAAGCAAAAATCAAAGCACGTTCATCACGTGCCAAGTGCGGTGGCAAATGGCGCAGTAGTTGTGCTACATATGGCGGAACAAGTTTCCACATGACAGACATCAGCAGCACACTACCGGATGACGTATTTTTTCAAAAGTTGCAGCCGAAAGCCGAGCAAGTTGATGTCAGCGACGTCAAAGCCGCTGCAACATCATCAGCTCCTGATGCGACAGTCAAGACAGAGCCCGCCGATGAGGTGCCCGCGGTGCCAGCGCTTGCAACTAGTGAGTTGGTGAGCACGCAGCAGCAGGCGACCACTTCGATAGCAACCATACCCGCGCAAATATTGCAAAATACGGCTGTGGCTGGCGTTAGTTTCAGCAGTAACAGCGGCGGCGGCGCAGCAAGCGTCACAAGCGTGCCGCAATTCATTGCGAACAACGTGCAACCGCAGCTTATAGCGACAACCGGTGTAGTACACCAACGCCAGCCACAAGCTCATCTGCATATGCAACAACAGATAGTCACGCAGCAGCAGCCGCAACAACAACAACAACAGCACCATCAGACACAGATGCACTTGCAAGAGGTGGCGGCGGTTGGTGACATAATAACGGTAACCTCGTCGAATGTGCCGGCATTACAGCCGCAACAGCAACAACAGCAACAGCAATTCCAGCAAGTGCAGGTACAACAGCAGCAGCAGCAACAACAGCAACATCAAATATTACAGTTGCGTCAGCCACGCATACAAAATGTCATGCAACAGTTCCAACAACGTCAACAAATTTTGCAAATGCAACGTGATATCTTGTCCGGCGGTCCGGTCATCACACAATACGTGTCCGCCACACCAACGAATGCAGGCACCACAACCGTCACAACAACGCCACTACGTCAGCCGACGCTCACACCGATTGGCGCCACAGCAACGGGGAATCACACCATCTACACGACCAGCACAACGGCCGATGGCACCATCATTGGTGGCACACAAAAAATCTACATACAAAAAGCCACACCCGCATTCACCAGCGGCACACTAGCCGCATCATCGGCGCAAGTTCCTAATAGCCAAACGTCCACAAACACAGCGCCAGCATCGGTTATAACGTTATCCAATGTGAAGTTCGAAAATAATAGTGATGGCAGCGCATCGGGCAGCCATGCGAATACAACATCAACGTCGACGGCGAACACGAATATACTGACCATTGATGGCAATGCTGTGACGGCGTCGAACATGAGCTCTACGGGTTCCGGTGTGAATATTATCAGTACGTCGGGTGGACATCAAGTGGCTGTGCATAGTATTAGCGGCGGTGCCGTACAACATTTGACTAATGCCAGCGGAAGCGGTGGCACAGTGCAACACTTGTCGTCGTCAGCGTCCGTCGGCACGACACCACTCATTGTCACAACAACGACCCGTCAAGCGCAACAGCAACAGCAGCATCAACAGCTGGTGCCGCAGCAAACGCAGCAGATTGTGTGGCGGCAGATAAGTGGTGGGTCGGCAAATGCGGCTTCAAGCGGTGCCACGACGGTAAGTGGTGCTGACGCTGCGGCGGCGATGGCGGCGGCAGCAGCTGCAGCAGGTTCGACCGGCAATAAGATTGTGTGGGCCAGTCGACCGGGGCAAAAGCGGCAGTTGAACGGTCCAGATGGTGCGACGGGTGAGTCAAATGTATTTTATTATATTTCTACATTCGTTCAACATGTTGCAGGGTCTTTAATATTTTTTGTTTAGCTAACGTTAATCCTGGTAGATTCTTTGAAGAATGTTCTTTTGCAATTGTGAGCAGAAAGTATGCCCCTGACACTATCTTCAAAATTTCATATGTCACCTAACCTCAACTTATGGAATATTCTTTTGATCATAGACTTCTGCCTAATATATCTTGTGTCGCATGTGAGATAGCTTCAAGAAATTTGGTTTTTTGGTACAAAGATTGTAAATCGGTCAATACTTCTCATTTATCGAGTATATGGTAGATATACGTCGACCCGGTAAACTTTAAAGTGGTTATTTCTTACAGAACAGGGAATATTAAGTGTGCCACGAAGTTTGTAACATCCAGAATGAAACGTCGGAGACCTTATAGTGTCTATATAAATGCTCAGCGTGACGAGTTGATTCGATGCCTGTCTGTATATACGCAATCTAGTCCCTCAGTTTTTAAGATATAGATCTGAAATTTTTGCACGGCCTCCCCAAGAAGCTGCTTATGTTGTATTGCAATTTAAAGATCTATACCTCTAAAAAAAAACACCCTTTATAATCTTTACATATCCAATACTTGCGAGCGTATTCAATAATCGGCTTTAACACCAACTTGTGTTTATTTCCTATATATATATTTATTTTTTATATAAATAAATATATTTAATTAATTACCTGTTTTAAATTGTTTGTTAAATATTTATTTTTAGATATAGTATAATAAATTATTTTTATATAAATAACCTTTTTGTATTTTTTTTTATATATAAACAACTTCATTTAATTTTGCTGTATAAATTTATGTGAAAATGTTAACAAAACTAAAAGCCATATTTTATTTTTTTTTCAGATATAAACAAATTGTTGCTGAATCGCAAATTCTCACAACGAAAAATAATCACCCAAGCGGCGCAACAACATCAAATCCAAATCTCAAAGCATTTACAGCAATTGCACCATCAGCAGCAGCAGCAACAGTTGCAACAGCAACAACAACAGCAACAAGATGATGATGGTGCTGCGAATGAAGGTCAAACGAACTCGGGTGGTGGCGGTGGCCTTACAACAACATTAGTTGGTACAACATCCCAGGTCACACAGCAATTGCAAAAGGTGCAAATGCAGGGAGGCAAAGTGATAAAGATGTCCTCATACCCATTGCTCGTGTCCGAGTTGAATGTTGCGCAACAGCAACAGCAACACCACCAGCAACAACAAAAGCACAATTCGGCAGCAATTGCGGCCAATCACAACTACAGTCTGCAACCAACGACAGCGATAATAACGTCCTCACAATCGGTGACACAACAACAGGGCAATAAAATCTACTTGACCAGCAACAATGCCGGCGGAGGAGGCACCAACTTCACCATTGCCACCGCCAGCGAATTGGCCAATGCTGTTGCTGTGCAACAGGCCAATAGCAACAACAATAGTGGTGGCAACAGTAACGGCAATAGCAACAGCAACAACAGCATAACACAGAAGCTGCATCACTACAAAGAACTGCAGAACTCCAATTTGAAGGTGAACTTCGTGTCCACTTCGAGTGCAGGTGGCGGTGGTAGCGGTGGCGTTGGCAGCGCTGTCAGTGTGCATCATGGCAGTATTGTGGTGGACGCAAAGACTGTGGCGGCCGCAGTCAGTCAGTCGCAACAGCAGCAACAACAACAGGCAACGGTGCAACAACAGGCTGTGGTGTTGAATAAGGCGACAGCAAATGCAAATTTGCAACAACAAAAGCTGAAACGTGAGCGCATACTGAACATAATCGGCGCCTCCAATATGGAGGTAAACGCCACGAATGCGGCGGTGAGCTCGAGTAGTGCTGGTGAGAATAGTAAACGCGTGCTGTACACAAGTCTGTTGAACGTGAAACCGCTGCAAAAGAACAACTCTGGGCAGATGCAGATGCAAATCGGACCCGGTGGCATGACACATGCGCTGCTACGCGGACGAATCGGCAACAATCAGACAATATTCACAAACATGCGCACGCTGCCGATAGCGACAAGCTCTGCGGTGAGCAATGCTACCACCATGCAGCAGTTGCAAGTGGCAGCGGCCAACAATAGCAGCGGTGGCAATGGCATGAGTGTCAGTTTGGCGCAGGTGACAACGAATGCGACGACACTGTCATCATCGGTGGCGGTGCATCAGCAATCGCTGGTGAATATAGTCGCTACGAATTCCACAGCTGCGGCGGCCGATGTTATAACCACAACAGCCGGCGGCGGTGCGCTAACGACCAGTTGCAATGATCTCAAGAGCATTGAGAGCGTTGTTGCCAGCAACAACAATAGTAATGGCAACAATAATGCAACAGCGACGCTAATTAGCAGCGGCGGCAGTAATAGTAATAGCAATAGTAGTAGTAGCGGCGGTGGCGGCGGCGGCGGCGGCAATTCGAACCATGCGATATCAGCGACTGCTAACAATAACACGCTCGCCTCTGCAATTATAAACAGGTGAGACACGGGGAGCTAACTAACACTAAGAAAAAATGATTATGAGAATGTGTGCGCCGCACAGGTGGGCGCAGCCGTCGCCGTTGTCGCAGGTCGAGCGGTGGCAGCAGCAACATGTCGCATTTGGTGTGCAACAGTAGCAGCAGCGGTTGTAGTTATAATTGCATTGTTGCCGCATAAAATTCATCTGCCGATGGTGACAAACGCGCACGTGCTGAGGTGGAAGCTTTGAAGGTGTTGTGTGGTTGGTTGTTGGCATGCGATTACTAGTAGGCGCCCGAGCCAAATGTTGGTGAGTGCATTCAGTTGTTAGTGCAAACGCAGTAGCTGAACTGGACTATGACGAAATACACAAAGTGATGAGTGAGTGCTGGTTTTATTGTGTGCATAACGCGAGCGCCAACAGGTGATCGCCGCAAAAACGGGATCATAGTCGCAGATGGTTGCGGCGTGCAAGTGGAGCATGCCCACCATCGAGTCAACAACAACCTTCTTACATCTCTTTAATCAACATGAGCAGGTGGCAACAGCGCTAAAAGCGGAGGTATCGCAGCAGCAACGGCTACAACAGCAGCAACACAACAACTTATACCTTACCAATCTCTTGTAATATTACTAGATGTTGTTGTTAATAATTAATAATGTACTTGTAGATTATATATTAATTTATATATACATATATATGCATCATTATACATATATATCTATATGCATACATATATACTTAATGAGTTGAGCTGATATGATATATGAAACCGAAAGAAATGAAAAGTAAACGAAAATAGAGAAAAAAGAAAAAAACAAGAAAGCTAAAATGATTAATGCATAAAAGAGCATAGGTGAATATGTAAAAGCAAAACACCGTTAAAACAAAAGAAGTGTGTCACTTTGTAAAGTAAGAGTCCTAGTTGATGAGCGTATAAATTGGAAATTGCAAATTATGTAAAAAAGAAACATAGAGTAAGCATCGAATGAATTGTGGCTAGAAAAGGCGTAAAACAGCGGAAAAAGAGTAGTCAGCGGTGTAGGGGCGCCCAAACAGACTTTTTGCCGCTAATTTCTTTAAATATATCAAATATTTGCAAGTTATGGCTTATAAACGATTTAATTTTTTCTGTTAGCTGAAGCGAATATAACCACAAAGAGCTGCCTTCAAACGCAGACTAATCTGCAAATAAATATTTGTTATGATGACAAATAGATTAAAAATATGCAATAAAAAAAAAACTGGCAATCAAAAGCAAAAAATATGCAAAAATTTTTTTATTTATTTAAGTAACGATTTTGAAATATATTCGCGCAATATTAAAAAAAAAGGTGATGAAAATTGTGTTAAAAATTAATAAAAAACAGTAAATCAAAAGCAAAAAATAAAAAATTTCCAAACTTATTTAAGTAATGATATTAAAATTTAATTTGCAAACGTTAGGGCGCTCTTAAAATATTTAGCGAAAATTTTTGAAATTCGTATAAAAAAAATAATATACCATTTATTTAATATATGCTCAGTTTATCTACACTTTAAAGTATGCTACAATATTCAATATATTCTGCGGTAATTCCCAATTTTTTCGCACAATTCATTCCATCGCCGAACTCTAATACAAAAGTAGATAACATTTTTGTAACCAGTTCATTTGCTATACATCTGCTTAAGTTATATGAAAAAAAAACAACAAAAGAAAATTCTACATTTTCATTTCTTGTAATTAGTATATTTGCGTTATTATTTCTAGTTACTTTTTCTGTTTTGTTTTAGTTTATTTTTCTAAAAAAAAAAAATCGTTATATAGATAATACGTTCATAGGTAGGCGTTAGAAATAAATTAAGTAACGCTTTAGTTATTAATTTCTACTACCACATTTTTTTTATTTTTTTACGCTAATAAAAATTGTAAATCATTAAAAGAGAGAAAAAGAAAAGAAAATGGATAGCTAGAAATACAAGTAAAAGCCTCGAGGAGCAGCGTACATACATACTAGCTATTATAGAGAGAAATAGTATGTGTGTGTGTGTGTGAGCAGAAGGAGAGAAGAGAGAAGGGAGAGCATAAAGAGTTAGATACGTCAAGCATGCGGCAGACAAATAAGTGCTACCGTAAAAAGTTGAAATACGACATTCGCTTATTATGATATATGTATATCAGATCTTATTTTCAAGATCGACTTTTTACTTTTTAATAAAATCAAAAAAAATAAATAAAAATAAAATAAATTAAAAAAAAACTATTTAATCAGCTTACAACCGATTTGCTTTTGTAGTTATTGCAGTAGTAGTGGTAGTGTGACTCGTTTTCTTGACATTTGAATTGGAACAGAATCAGTGGTTTTGAGAGCGAAATTAATTTTTGAAAGCACTTTTGTTAAAAACAATTTTTTAGGTTTGAAAATAAATTTTTTTTTGTTGGTCTATTGTGAGATTGAATTAAATAAATTTATTTAATTAAATTAATTAATTTTAAATAAGAGTTTGAATTAATTAAGTTTAGATAATTCAATTTTTAACCATTTTTTTAATAATAAATTAAAATTCTTATAATTAACAAAAAAAATTATTATTTTTTTAATGAGTGATAATTTAATTTTTATTAAAAATTTAATTACAAACATTTCGTTAATTTTTAAATTTAAATATCTAAATTTAATTAACTTAATCTCAATATACCAACAAAATTTTGCATTTAATTGTCTAAATGTAATTAATCCAAAGTTAATTAATCTAAATTTAATTAATGTAATTTTAACTAATTGAACTCTTTTGATAAATAAATAATAATTTGGAGTGTTCAGGAGATTAGAAAAAGCAACGTTTCGTAAAATCGAATTCTAAAATAATGAATTTGTTTTACTTTTCTAAAAACTGAAATACTGTGTAGCGGCGAAGCATTTATTTAAAAATTTTAAATACGTGTCCACGTTTTGTTTTCAAGAATTGTTTTTTCTCAAAAATCAGTACAATTTCTTGATGAGTATACCTGCTTCGGCCTACAACGAAGGCAATCGGTTGATGGCAAATACGAAACTCCATACAATCCATAAAAACTCTGCAATACACGCCCAAATACTTCCGCATATACATATGTACAAATAGCACCGCAAAGAGAGGTTAGAACCTTTAGAAGAAAAAATGAAATTTATAAATATATATGTATAAATGTATATACTTATACATAAAAATACCGTAATATTAAAAAAATAGCATTTACCACAAAAAATAATGAAAATTTGTTTCAAATGACTGTAATTGTAAGTTTATTGGAATTGGTAACTAAAAAAAAAACAATTCCGTTAAAAAAAGCTAACAGCTGAACGTCTTGCAACCACAGTGACTAAATTTCAAAAACATAACGAAAAAACAACAACACAAATATTTTAAAGCAAACATTTTGGTCGTTTCCGTTCATTTCTTCAATGCATTGTTTGTAATTTCTTAAATTAATATGATAACTTGCATAACACCACTACATACATACACACAAACAAATATACGTACAGCAGCTCAAGCGGGGCTCTCATACATTTCCTGTCACCTGCCATTTTTTTTTGTAATTTCGACTCCCCAAAAAAGTACTGCTATCATACCCCCCACATACAAAAACAAAAATCATACACATACACTCATAAACATTAGAACACAGGCAGAAGCAAATAAATATAATAATAATAATTATAATAATTATAGAAATATGATAATATGAAAACGTTGAAGTAATGAAACCAATATGTAAATAGGTAATAGTAATGATAATAATGATAATGATGAATAAATTAAACTTAATTATTACAAATTAAATTATAAAACAAATTAATATTAATGTTAATATTAAAAGTTATGTACTAAATAATTATAATTATAAAATATATTAGCGGTAATAAACGACTTCAAAGCGAGACAAAAAAAAAAAGAATAGCAAAAACAAACAAACAGCTTTTTTAAGATGCAACTTGAAACAAGGAAATGCGCAAATGTAAAGTGTGTAAAGAAGTGTGTGTGTGCTGCCGGCGACGGAATCACTTGACTTCGTGTGGATGAGTTCGATGTTTCCCTCTAGTTTTATTTCGCTCCCAAAAGCCTTGACTTTATCGATTGCGGGCAATGACATTTACTTTAGATATTTTCCCAACTTTGTGAACTGATTCGAGGATTTGTTTTTGTTTCTTATTATCGTCCTTTTTATTCACTTTATTCACAGGGTAATAACTATTTTCGGAAATTTGCTCCTTTTGCGACTGCAAATATTACTTCGCTCTGTATATAAAATTTATACGAAACTTTTGCTTTAGGTATTTCAAATTTATACTAAATTTAATAAAGTGGGAATCAAAATTTATTCAATTCGCAATAAACAAACTTCAAAAGGAAGTATTTTTCAGTTTAAAAAATTGTACTTAAAACAACAACACTTTGGGTGCTATGAAATGCGGTTTTTCAATTTCTTCAAAATTCAGTTTTAAAATTTTAGTCATACAAAAAGGATTACAAAAGTATGATGGAATTAGATCAAATTTCATTCAAAAATGAAAAAATTTAAAGAAATTGTATAGCTTCATCTTTTTTCTAACCTGTCTAATTATTTTCATTAGTGCTGTGTGCTTAGTCTCACTATATGCGTAGCCGTGAGTCCCATACACTCTTTGGAAAAGTTCAATTTTAATATTCAAAATTTAGTTTTCCATTTTCAAAAGAAATTCTTGATCCGTAAAGAATTATTTATTTATTTGGAGTTCTAAATTTTATTTATTTTAAAAATATAAAAGTAGTTTATAGTAATTTCAAAAAATTAAAAATAATTTAAAATGTTAAAAATTTCACAAGTATAAAAAGAATATATTCTAGAGTTTAAATTTCAAAATATATTCCATTTAAATGCCAATAAAAAATAAATTCTAACTGCATTTTCGGAGTTAAAACTTATTTGATTTTTAGTTTTATGGGCACGAGTTATTTACATTAAATTTTTTTTATTATCTTGGTAGTAGCTTTAAACCAGAATATTTATATTTACTTAAAAAAAATTAACAACAGTCATTCGTAATTTTACAGCTTGCTTTGCATATTAAACGACTTGAAAATCTGCTTAAAACCAAAAAAAATAAAAGTTCATTTAAATTTTTTCGCAATAAAATTAGAATTTTTTGAAATTTATTTTTTAATTACATTTTTTTTAATATAACTTTTAAATTTTTTCCCACTAAAATTTGATAAAATAAATAATTATTTTTTATTATGCTGGGTTTAAATAAACCTGGTTTTAAAAATATGTTTCAAACTTTTTGTTTAATGGATTTAAAGATAATATATTTTAAATTTATTTGAAGAGGAGATAAATCCCTCAAATATCATATAGAAGAAAAATATTTTAATGTTTTAAAAAAATTTTCAATTTAGTTTACATTTTTTAATATTTTCTATTCCAGAAATAATTTTGCCTTAAATTTTTAAATAAAAATAAAATTTTAGTTTTCTGCTTATATTTTTAAACTTTGTTGTTTAAAAAAAAAAAATTTCTAAAAAAAATTTAATAAAAATTACCAAAAATAAATAAGAAATTACTTTTGAAAAAGTCAGCTGACTCGTTGAGTCTTACTCGCTAAGTAATTAAGCTCAAATCACGGTGTGAAATTTTTTTAATTATATTTATTTGAATACCGTATATAGATTCAGTTTTAAAATTCAGAATTATTTCCATTACCCAGCAAAAAAAAACATTTTTATTTGCTGATTTCGCTCATCTCATTTTCAATCACAGCTTGTTTCTACACTGCCAACCTCGTACATCGATTTGTATTCTTACAAACTGCTATGTGTGTACACACACACACACACATAAATACATGCCTGGCTCACCACACTCACTCAAGTTATTCACCTGGCCGCAGCTCGCTGTTTTTTTCACCTTTGACTTTGCCTTAGTTAAGAGCAACAAATACAAATTAAGTAAAATAACAATTAAATGCAAACATACATACCTACCTACTTTAATTAATTAAATAATTTATATGGTAAACATTAAAAAATGCGTAATTTTTACAATAAATACACTAAACAATAACCAGAACCTACTACATTTACACATTACTATTATTTTTTATACAAGTTACAAAAATAAATTAAATAAATAAATGAAAAATCAAATAAAAGTAAATATAATATATTGATATAAATAAAAACAAGTTAAAAATGTTGTAAAAGTAAAAATATGCTCGTACATTTAATTTCAACGCAAATAAAAATCCGTGTAAATAAAAAATTGGCTAGAAAATGATAATTGAAAGCAAATGGCGCTAAAAGCAAACAAGAAGAATGCATTGAAATTGCTTCTAATGAAAAAAGTAGAATAATACATTTTAATAAATAGCCTTTGCAAGCATGAGAAAATATACGAAAGAAATAAAAAATAAATAAATAAAAAGTATAAATCAACAAAAAACCACAAAAATAAATATAATAAAAAATAAATAAAAGAACTAAATATAAAAAAAAAATTTAAATAATTCAAAAAAAATATTCTGAAAAAATGTAATAAAAAAGGTGTATAGTCTTAAGTATTAGCTTAAAGAAAATGCAATGAATAGCGATACGAATTAAATGGGAAATGAAAAACGCGAACAACAAATTCAAATTGTTGTTCTGTGAATATGTGAAATGCAATTTATGCGAGTAAAAAGAACAAAGAAACAAAAACAAAACTTTTGTCTTTTAATTTGTCCAAAACCTTCCGTATATACTCCTATCGTTATAAGCGTGTATTTCTTGCTTCCGATTTCATAAATTGGCGGCTTACGATCTGTTTTGGGTGAAAATGGGATAAGTATGCGAGACTGAGAAAATGGCTTCCTTTTCATGTTTTGTTTAGTTTTTGTTATGCTCAAGGGGTTAGATGGGTTGCAAGGGTTAAAGAAAAGTGTATTTTTTACTATTTTTTTTAATATTTATATTTTAATACAATTTTTTAACAGTATTATGTGAAATTTTTAATTAATAATTCCGAAAACTCTGCCGTTGGTATTTCAACTCCCTTGACGTCTCAAAAAAAAAGAAAAGAAATACCTCTAGCGGTGAACAGCACAACTCATTATTGATTCATCGAAAAGCAAAAAACCAAAAATATTTCGTTAGTACTTAGATAAACTTCGTTATTGAATGGAGGGGGAAAAAATTAAAATTTGATATTTTGGCAGACTTTGAACAAAAACACATTTTCTCAAGGATTAGATAATGTTATTTCAAAAATGTGTGCAAAATTTGAAAATCGCTTCATATCTTTTCGAGAAGTCATGTCCAACGATTTATGAAATTGGGGTTTGATATAAACGCGTTTAAGTGCGAAACGGTGCACTGACGTGGTGTGATGGGCGGAGCTACCGAAGGTCTATCTCCTAGAATTTTACTCGGATCTATTTGAAATTTTAAGATAATATTTCAAGAATATTAATTTTCAACCCCACCCAACCCCTTAATAATTTTTGAGGCAAGTGCTTAACTTTAGCCGCAAATTAATTGAGGCGAATTTGAAATCCAGACAAGAGTCGTCAATGCGAAAACATTCTAAAAAAAGTTGGGACATGTTCTTCGGTGCTACAACAACATCAACAATAGTAAAAACATATGTTTCATGTTACCGCAATATTTCAGCTGAATACCGCTCTGGTAAAAAAACCATGTCGCTAACACATAGCTCTTTTCGGCAACGGTTCCTTCGAGTATTCCGTGTGGTTTATTAGTAGATGCAAAATTTTCATAGAAATGAAGTAAAAAATTTTGATTTTCGAAATTATCAATACCGCCGAATATAGCTTTCTTAAACAATTTAAAGGTTTTGAGAACTTTTTTGTTTAATATTTGATAATATCAACAGCTATTTTTTATTTGTTTGGACATCAAGCCCATTTGTGGTTATTCGTTCAAATTAATCAACCGAAAGCTGTTATATATATAATAATCCAAAGACCACTTCGAAGTCTAAAGTTTCCAGCTAATAAAAAATTGCCTACAGTTGTAGTTTGTAAAAATCTGGTAAAACAATAACACAAGTCAGGAGAAATTTCGAAAGTTTTTATATCAAATATATTTTGATTCTATAAATTTTTTGGTTTGAGTTCAAGGCGCATTTTACACAGATATTGG